AACATTGCATCGAGCTACTTGTTTTAGGCAAGATTCTAGTTTGAAATCCTTGATGTTTGTTGGTTCCACCAAATTTAAATTACTGAATTTAACTGTAGAAGTGGTGAATTCAGGTCGAACCTTAGAGACTAAAATCTTAATTTTTGTGTTAAAAAGAAGGGGTTTAAAAAAAGAAGGGGGCGTTTTGTTTGTGAAAAATTCAACTTAACAGTTTCAAAAAGAAAATTAATTAATTTAAACTAAAAGTAATAATTGCAAATGATGAAGAAACTAATTTTCAGAGGTGATTTCTAATCCAATGACAGCAATTTGATCACAGGACAACTAATGATTTAAATTACCTTTGGAATACTTAACTGAAAATATTACCAAAAAGTGCATGTTAAATTCCATATAACTCCCCTATTTCGTTACTTTTGAGCCCAGCACACCTCATTAACTCTAAAATTATTAAAACTGACGGGTATTAAGCCAAATACTCTTTCAATTTAAAATAAAAGCATAATGACATCAGGGAAGTAGTTAAACCTTAGAAACAACAAATTATAAAGCATTTAAACAATTTAACCTTTCAACCAAACCACTATTGTTCTCTATAATTATTACAATGGAAACTTGAAAATATAATAACGAGTTAATATCCTAAATTGTTACTAACATTCAGAACTCTTTCATAACATAACGGATTATGAAATCTGAAAATACGCTACTTAATCCTACCAAAAACAATTCACTAATATGGCCTTCCTTAGTACATAAGTATACTTTCAAATAAGTATATAACAACTCTATATTCGTAAGAAGCAAGAAAAAACAATCATATCAGTCACCCTATTCGAATGAAGAACTCATACATGTTAAAACTCGAGTCTCCACAAGGTGCAAGGATGATTTATAAATCATTGAATTTTGTAGGTGTAAAGAAATAGCCACTCATATACTAGAGAGACTTCAACCTCAAAAAAAAAGGAATACAAGTGAACAAATTAACTTCTAGATTAATAATGAATCTAACCGTGAGATATAGTATAACTAAACGTTGGACCTCCTTGCATGCTTGTAGATAATCACTCCAATATATAATCACCTCCAAAAACGTGAAAAAGAAATCCCTAATCAATTGGGAAATATCAAAAGCAGTAAAACAGAAAATATTTGACGTGTTCTGATTTTTCCCACGTTTTTCAGCATCTTCTGTTCCAAATCCTGGCTCTGACTCCTTAACAATAAATTTGAAAATCATCTCTCCTCCCGTCTTCTAACGAGTCTAAAGCATCGCCCAGAAAACGGAACATTCTAATCAACATTTAGACTTATGAACCTAAAAATATCTGAAATCAAGATTGAAAGCAGAAATCTTGCTCAAATACGTTTAATTTTCTATGACGTTTTAGAAGACCAATAACGACTTCATTTCCCACTAATTGTCTTTCACCAACAACTGTAGGCTGTCTTTCTAAGAATTCAAAATACAAAGGTTCTTAACTTGAGGCCCAATTAAACTCAAAACCGCATCCTTTATCATAAATAGTTTCATTCATAGGAAATCAATGTCTAAAGTCATTTTTCTTCATTCAAGTCATAATGTTCATCAAATGATTCATGCAAGAACATCTTTAACAAATATAACTAGAGAAGCAATGTCTATATATTACAGGCATACTTCATGGATATTTGCAATGAAATTCTTCGTAAGTGTTATGAAAAATCGCCACAAAATATAGGAATGAAGTAAGCTATATGTCACAGGGGATTGGCTCCGTTATACCAAGTACCCAAAATTAGATTAACTACATATATTTAACCGCAATAAGGGCGAGTATTTAAGACATTAAAATTAATAAGTAAAAGAGAATAAAAAGAAACAAGAAGCCAATTTTATTAAACAAGAAAATCCCAAGCCGGTTAAAGCGCTACTAGAGATTTTGACCTTTCACTCATAATTCTATCAATTATTATTAGTTCATTAATCCAAATTAATTGTTCAAAGTAAGGAAACAACTAAATCCCACTAAATAATTCCTCCCTGATACTATATTGTAGTTATTTAACAGTCTATACTATCTTTAATATGAATTAAAATGAATCATGTGGGCCTGGAAGTTAAAGAGTTAGTTTTGGACACTTGCGAACCCTTTTTTTTCCCAGATTATGAAGTCCAACAGATTAGAACAGGTGTTGTTGCTCAGTTATGACAGCACATAGCTTTCAAAATAATACAGAGTCTGAATTTGATGCGGAATATGTAGACTGATATTAGGCTTCTATTTCCTTTTTGATTCAATTTTTAGAACTTTATTTCCATTCTTTCCAGCGCATCAAACGGAATCCAATTTGAGGTCTACAACTACCAATATCCCACTGAAAAACCAACAAGGGTTCAAGATAACAAAAAATGCTGGAATTTTAACCAAATATTTAATCCATATTACTCCAATGCAACTAAAATACATGTCAATTGGCGTTAAAAATTCAACTAAAATAATGTCTAATTGGTAAAAATTGTCTAACGAAGTGAATTAAGCACATAAATAACCCAAAAATGCATACGAATATAGACAATAAAAGCACTTGATAATGCATTTATCAATCCTCATTGTAAGTGTTTGTTCTCCAAGGCCAGAAATCCCATGAAAGGGTAAAGCTTTGTAACTTCAGTCCTTTCCGGTAAGCAAGTAACCTTTTTGTGAAATCAAGAAGCTAGAACCTTTTGAAAGGTTTACTGAACTGTGTATTGTCGAACGAAATATCCAAGTTGGGAACTGAAATTGAAAGATCTCTGCATCTTCGAGATAAAGTGCTGAATTTTGCAATCCCTTTAAAGGTGCAAAAATTAAGGATGTGATGCACGATGTGGTCTGAAAGATGAAGAATTCCATATGGTGTAGCATTTGCTATCAGCTCGAGGGGTGGCTCCATAATTAAGTTTCTCAAAGATTCAAAAAATCCAAGAAAACAAGCGACGAGAGAGAGATTCTAAGTCTTATATGTAAGTAATAAAGGAAAAGCATTACTTTGTCTAAACCGAATCAGAGTAGGAATTAATACATGGTGTTAAAAGGAAACCTATTCTTCTTTTGACTTGGTAAAATTAGGTTTTATCTGAATTACACTAATTAATCTTTCTGCTAAATTCATAATTATTCAGAATAATTAAATAATGTATATATATCCAAGTCCTAAAAATAAAAGGGTCATGGCAAATATATTTTTAGGAAAATCGTAAATCAGGGGACTAAAAGTAATTAATCAACCCTTTTAAGCTACATAGTTGTCATGTACATTCATTAAGAGCGATAACGACATTTTATTAGCAGTTAACGGAAAGTAAACAAATGATTAAATACAATAACTGAGATAAAACCCAGCAATATATAATTAAATCTTTACAATCAGGAGTATAATCTAATGACTAAATAATATAATTTACTCAGTTGTTTAACCCTGATTATAGAAAATGAATGATTGATTGATTGATCGATCAATAGGGTTTTTGTCCTTCATAGTTACCAGGAGGATTATAGTTGCAGGAAATTAAGGTTCCACCATTATTGCATCTGACCTTAGCGCACCCTATACAAGTAGTGTCACGCCAAACCACCTGTTTATAATGACCACATTCTTTCCCTTCACAACAGTTGTTAGTGTTATAATCATAATCAGCCCCCTCATCAGTCCACATTTTCACTGCATCCGCCACGGAAAGATCATCCGAGCACCATGCCAAGTTTTCACCATACGGCTGAGTTGTTTATAATCATAATCAGCCCCAACTCATCAGTCACATTTTCACTGCATCCGCCCACGGAAAAGATTCATAATCTTAGCACACATTGCCAAGTTTTCACCAATACGGGACCTTAACGATAATGGACAAAGCTCGGCAATCTCCAAATGCGTTGACTTGTAGTTTAAGTCTTTCGCATATTGCCTCTAACTATGCGTTGACTTGTGTAGTCTTTCGCATATGCCTCTAACTTCTTATCCCATACTAAGGGTTTAAGACCAACAGCCTTTCGGGCTTCTGCGTGTGGTATTAGATAGTCTTCTGGTCCGTCGTGAGCGTTAGAGGGAAGAAGTAGGGTTCCACTCATGAGAAGAACAATAGCTAATGAGAGTTTGAAAGATATCATTTTTGATTATTTTTGTTTTCTTTATGGTGAAAAACAAGGTTAGGAAGTTAGTATGTATATATATATATATATATATGTAGAGACATTAGGAAGAGGAAGCTTTGTGACCCTTAAAGTTTTTTGCACTATAATAATGGCGAACTTCATGGTTTATGCAATGTCTTTTATATTTTTAACTTAATTTTACATGATAAAAAATAAATTCAAAATTGCTTGGTTTAATGGTTAAAGCCTTCCTTTTCAACTTCTATCAAATAGCTCAGATGCATCTGAACATTTCTAACATGTATCATTTTCTTCTTATCACGGGTTGGTATGCTTGCCTTCCTTTTCTACTTCTATATATAGTCAAATGATTAAATTTAATATTAATGAGGTGTGGTTTCTCGTCTCTGTCATCATAATTATTAACAAGTTAATGAATATTATTTAAAATGAAAGCAATACTTATCTATACTCGGTATATGATTCACCTATGGACTAAACTAATTATAAAGAATGTTTTGATTCAAACGAAGATATTTTTAACTATAAACTAAAAATAAAAAGGACAAATGGTGTTTATCAATGATGGTATAAATCAGTTTACATATTAACGAAGATCTTTGATTGGCTTGGTTTCATACACAAGAATTTTTCTTAAAGAGAGACTAGTATTATTGCTGTATAACCTACAATATTATACTAGAGCCTCTCATGAATTAAAAAAAAAAAAAAAAGATTAAATTTATTCAAATAGAGACAAGACTTATATATTTACATCCATTTTGTCTTTGCAGAAAGATGATGTCTAGAAGATAGTATTTGATGGCTTAAGTTATTGTAATCAGCAATTACGGGAGTAAATTGATAGTGAAACACAGGAAATGAGGACAAACTCCTAATATTTTATTTTATTCTATTTTTGGCTTAAAAATCTTGCCCCTTTACAAATAACCAAAAGCAAATCTCCATGCTGGAAATCAGGAAGACATATATCATATTCTATTTTATTCCATTTTTTCTTGGTCAACTTAATCTAGGCTGAAACCGGAAGACATAAATCATATTCTTATAATCTTGGATATGAACCAGTACATATTTTATCCTTAGGTATATCTAAACGACATTATGATTAATAAGGTCGTTTCCCAATATAATTACCAGGAGGATCATAATTGCATCCAATAAAGGTTCCTCCATTAGTGCAGGTAACCTTAGCACACCCTAGGCGAACCGATTCGCGCCAGACCACTTGAGTATAATGGCCACAAACCCGGCCAGGAGCACAAGAATTAGAATTATAGTCGTAATAAGTTTTCTCATCAACCCACATTTTCACAGCTTCTTCGCCTGAAAGGTCTCCACTACCCCATGCCAAGTTCTCGCCGTAAGGCCCCTCTGAGTGCACAAGGTTGCATTCACTGACGTGCCAAACGCGGATCCAGGAGCACAAAGAATCAAGAATATCTAATAAGTCGTAAATAAGTTTCTCATAACAAATCAACAAACATTGTTTCACCAGCATATCATTGCGGCCATGGAATATTAGAGAGTCAATATCCCACCTACCCCATGCCAAGTTCTCGCCGTAAAAGAGGGCTCTCCTCTGAGTGCAAAACCAAGGGTTGCATTCACTGAGGCGTGCTGATTTATGCGTAGGTGTTTGTTGCATAATAGGGCTGGCTGAATCATTTAAATTAAATAAGTCCCAGATACATCATAGGTCCAGATCCAACGAGTACCATTAAATTGGGCTTAGCCTCGATCTGGTTGTGAGCATTCAATAGTCTTCAGGTGTTTGTGGCGTTGAAGGGAACGGGGTAGCATATGGTTACACCACCGACTGTGGCTATGAAAAAGTTGGAGGTAAGGGCTAAATAAACATTTTTGACACGTACAACTTATCGTCATAGATCCCGATCCAACAGATCCAAATATATATTCCCGTTGCATTTAGTGATTATGAATGATAAAGTGTATTTTTTATGTAGGTATTTTTGGATATTTTTATTTAATAGGCATAGATTATTTAAAGCATACCTATCGATATATCTTGACTGGAAATAGAAGGTCCCAGATAATACTATATTTTTAACATTTATTATTTACGTTATAGGTAGTATATAGGCTGCTCGAGCTTGGTTGTGAGCATTCAGATAGTCTTCAGGTGTTTGTTGGGCGTTGAAGGGAACGGGTAGAAGTAAGACTGTGGCTATGAAAAGAGGAAGGGCTAATAATTTGACACTACACATTATGCAAGGTGAAATATTGTTGATTTGGTGAAGTGGTATTTGATGGGTATTGTATTTATAGGCAGATTAAGGATCATGTATTCTGAAATAGCAGAATACATAATTTAACATTTAACTTTGAGAAAAAAAAAAGTTACGGTACTCTAGATTTTAGAATCGATCTTCACTTTTTATAATAATTTAACATTGAACTTTACTTTTTATAATAATTTTATACATTTTTACACTAAAAATAATAATTTTTAGGTTATTTAGCTTTTACGTGTAAAATATATTGGTTTGATTTAATACAACTTCTCAAACAATTTATATTTTTTTATTATCCAATAAGTTATTAATTGATTTAATCTTATAAGGTGAGGTATTATAAATCAAATAAAATATTTAATATATAAAATTTTATAAGTTAATATATTGAATAGATTAAAGTAAAAATGGAGGTAATTTTATGTATTGTGCATTTTGAAATGTTGCACTACTGGTCAACTGATTGGAATTTTTTTTTTTTTTTTTTTTTTTTTTTTTTTTTTTTTTTTTTTTTTTTTTTTTTTACGCCCTGTTCACATGCTCGTCAATTGACCTCTCTTTTGGCATTATCTACCCATTATAGTCAATATAATAATTTCTAACATTAATTAGATTGTAAAATTCAAATGGCTAAAGAGTGGTAGATATATAAAAATGAATTTTTTTTATTAAATTAGGTGTACTTCCTCGCTCTCTACAACATAATTCATTCTTTTCTTTTTTCACTAAAATATTTCCAAGATTTAAAGATTTTCTATTTAATTCATATTTCTCATTTTAGAAGAAAAAAAATATCTACTTCCTATTCTACAACATATTAACAAGTATTAAGACAAATAAATATTCATTAGTATATATAATATATTTATATAATATATATATAATCAGGATCCTTAAAATTTTAGATAATTAATTAAATATTGAACCTGAAATTTTCATTATCTTTATAAATTTACACTATATAAAAAATGAAAAGTTATAGTGAAAAAACCACATTAAAGACTGTAGGTAGAGGTAAATACCTTAATCTTAATTCTATTTCATGAAAAGTTCAAGAGTTGAGGTCTAAATAAATATTTTGTTATTGAAATGGAGAAAAAATATTTTAAGTACATAAAAGAGATACCAATAATTTTATAATAATTTAATGATCATTCATTTTGCAACCGGGTATTACAATTTTATGAAATGGAGAAAAATATTTAGTACATAAAGTAAAAATTATAAAATTAATGATCATCATTTTGAGTATTACAATTAAATAACTAAACTAAATGTGTGTGTGCTTGGGTTACTAATTGGTCTTACATATGTTAGTCTTGTGTATGTTAATTAGAGGATTGATTAGGCTTAAGATGGGTAGATCAATATATGGACAAGTTATAGAGTTAATGTGCATAAAATTTCTTAGAGAAACCTATAGATTGTGGGTCAGTGGCAAATTTGGCTGAACATATGTAAAGATTTCTCAGATTCGATCCCTACTAAATACACTTGCAGGGAGGGGCGAAGAGCATTAACTGTTACTAAGTTCCGAGCGAGATTAGGCGGTTCTGGATAATACGTAAGATCCGAAAACCGATGGTTTAAAAAAAAAAATCTCTTAGAGAAGACATAATAAAATAAAGCTGGTAGCAATCTAATTAATTGGATAGAACATTCAAATTAAATAAGCTTCACACATTTCTTTTTATTCTCTGAAGCCAATAAATTATACACTAATTGCATGGCTTCTATTCAACTAGTAATACTAATAGTTAATTAATATTTTGTGGAAGCTTTTTAATAATAAAAAAGATAATTAGTAAGGTTTTTGGCCAACATAGTTGCCAGGTTGCCAGGGAGGATTCAGTAAGTTACAAAAGTAACAAAAGTTCCTTCCATTGCTGCACCTCAACCTTAGCACATCCAACGCGAAAACATTGCATGGCTTCTATTCAACTAGTAATACTAATAGTTAATTAATATTTTGTGGAAGCTTTTTAATAATAAAAAAGATAATTAGTAAGGTTTTTGGCCAACATAGTTGCCAGGAGGATCATAGTTACAAGTAACAAAAGTTCCTCCATTGCTGCACCTCACCTTAGCACATCCAACGCGAACAGAGTCACGCCAAACCACCTGAGTATAATGGCCACACATCTGGCCGGGAGAACAAGAATTAGAATCATAGTCATAATAGGCCTTCTCATCAACCCACATCTTCACAGCATCTGTGCCTGAAAGTTCAGCACTACTCCATGCCAAGTTCTCGCCATAAGGCCCGCCGGAGTGCACAAGATTGCAGTCTCCGGCGCGTTGGCTTGCGTAATTCTGTGCGTAGGCAGCTACTGTGTCGTCCCACGACAGTGGGCCAACACCTACAGCTGCACGAGCTTGGTTATGGGCATCTAAGTAATCTTGTTGTTGGTCTTGGGATTGTATAGGAAGGATTAGAGCTAAGTTGATGAGAGCAAAGAGAGGAAATAGTGAATTCTTGAATGAAAGTTTCATTTTTGCTGTTTGGTTTTGTATGCAATGTAAGAGAAGATGTTATATTGGTTTATGGATGAAGAAAAATGAGATGTTTGAGAAGTATTTATAGGCATTTTAGGGTTGGAAAATTATCTGAATTTTCTTAGGAGTAACATGCAGTTCAATAAATTTCAAAAAGAAAATGCACTTAACTGAATTTTCATTGAAGGAACGTGTCGTAATTACTCTGTTTTGCATTCAGGTTGAAATTATTTTATTAAAAATTTATTTATTTTTAACTTACATTTAAAATTATTCTCGGATGAATTTATATTCAACATCTCCAAGTTTCCATTTTAGGTGATATTACAAGTGTATTCAGAAATATTAAAAATAAATAATATTTTCCCACATTAAGATATAGTCTAATGGTAATAGATCCGAATCCAAATTCCTTTTCTCAGTATTCACAATAAATAAAGAAATAATATTTCTAAATACACTAACCTAATTTAAAAAAATTATTTGGACAAATAAGGTATTTAGGTATTCTCAATAAGGAAATCAATTATGAGTTTTTCTGTCTTATCCACCAGGATTTAGTTTGATCGAAGAATATTCTAAAAATATTAAAAGTTCCATTTTTTTTTTTTTTGTTGTTTGAAAAAAAAGGAAAATGGAAAACACAAATGCAAAAATAATTTAGAATAAAATTCAATTTACATATATTTCAACATTTTTAAACTAATACTTTTTACAAGTACATTACTCCATTTGAGGATAGTTGATATACATATACGTACCTTAGGCTTCACCACCAAATTGTCATTTAGGTATAAAATTAAAAATTAAAAATTAAAAATTCTCACACATTCTTCCTCTTTAGAAATTTTTTATGTGCCAATGACTTGACGGATTTTGTATTTTGAAATTTTTCTCTAGCTTTTAGTATTAATTTCCATGAACAAGGGGTACTACTTTTCAAAGAAGGACTTCTCTTCGGTATAATTAACATTGATTACAAGAATTAATATCACCAGAGTTGCTAATAATTTTATAATACTCTTAATAAATTATAAGAAATTTGGTTATACTATTATTCTCTCCTTGTGTGTATATATACCTGAAGTGAAATGAATTTCAAGAAATTAAAAATTAAAAATTCTCACACATTCTTCCTCTTTAGAAATTTTTTATGTGCCAATGACTTGACGGATTTTGTATTTTGAAATTTTTCTCTAGCTTTTAGTATTAATTTCCATGAACAAGGGGTACTACTTTTCAAAGAAGGACTTCTCGATAATTACATTTGATTACAAAATAATATCACCAATTGCTAATATTTTATAATACTCTTAATAAATTATAAAAATTTATACTATTATTCTTTTGTGTGTATATATATGAAGTGAAATGAATTTCAATTCATTATTTTATTAAATTTTTAATTGAATATGTGTTTATGTGTACACAAAATCGTATCCTACCAAACATGCAAGTTCACAATTCGCTTCTCGGAAGGAGTGGTTTCAGCTTTGGAATTGCAAGTCTTCTATCCTTCTTTTTCAGCGCTTGCTGTGATGACATGTAAAATGACATTAGCTTTACTTGAATTATACAAATACTTACATTTTATAAAATATTAATAATTGGATTTCTTATTTTGTAAAGTTCTTTTTAAAAAAATAGATATTTTTTTTATAAATATTTAAAAATATTACAAAATGCTGACTTCCATATCTATTATTTTATAAACCATCAACTTTAAATAAAATGGGATATATAAGGACCGGATCACATGGTTTGGTAGAGCCGTGAGAACGGACTTTGTCAAGGTAACATGACCAGCGAAGACAGGATAGCAGCTTTCTATGGACATTAATTGTATGATTAAATGACTCTTATTTTCTGATTGTATGTTATCTCTGTTTGAACTGGT